CATCGGAAAATGTGAGCTAGTATCAATGGTGTTCAAAATATCATCGCCGATGGTTTTCAAATAAAAAAAATGGCTTTTAAGTAATAAAAATAAAATAAAATGTTTATTATTTCATAAAAACTATTATAAAATGAATATTTATAATTAATAGACGATACTTTTAAGTTATTACATATACATATATTATAATTATATTTTGTGATTTATTGTGTTTTCAAAATTAAAATAACGGTTATATATAGTAATATAGACAGTAGTTATTAATAGGTATCTAAAATTATTCGTTTTATGAAGTCTGTCATTTTCGAAATTAATTTATTGTCAAATTTAAAAAGTCTCAGGTTTAAACAATCAAATCGGGATTTTTCTAGTTTTGACGTCGTATTCGTGTTCCTTTGCTTTGAAAACATAAGTGTACTAAATATCAAGTTAATCCGACATCACTTACGAGTTCTATGAACATGTCCACGAAAACCCGTATTTCGTCTCACTGTGCGCCGCGTTAAGAATTTTGAATAATAGCCCATTACATAGAGGACGAAATGCTGAAAAATTCCGTCGCTTAGACGGATGTTAATAATTTGATAAAAAGGAGTCTGTACCAAGGACTATAAGGAACGGAAGGTGCTTAAAAGCCTACTTGATCGTCAAACTTTTATTTAAAAATGTCAACTTTACCGAGGATAAATATAATATGCTTAAGTAGACATGGAAGTATATTTCGTTCCTTAGGGTGTATGGGATTTGTGTGTTTTTTAATTTAACTTTTTAATATTTAACGGTTTTAGTTCTTAAAGTATTGCTCTTCATATTCATCGCACATGAAATCGTACTAACGAACAGACTAAAAAAGATGTAATACAATAATTTTTCCTCAAATTGTTTCAAAATATTCACCAGATATCTTGTAACATACTACAAAACGGACAGAATTTCCAATAAAGCTTAACCCAGCTTGTGTTATGTAATTTCGCGTTCAAGTAATTATTTAAAAATTTAAATAAAATTTAAAAATTCGCACATCATTTTGTTCTCAAATGGCAAATTATTAAGAAATGAAAATAATGCAACGTATCAAAAGATAAAGAAATCAATTGTTACTTTATCGATAAATATAATATACAAAGGAAACAAAAATTAATTCAAATCTTCATTAATGTTTAGAACCAACATGTTTAAAAATTTCAATAAGCTGTATCTTTGCTAAAAATTGTCCGATTCGATGATTTTTTTTTTTTTCTTTGAAGGATACTTAGTAATATTTTATATCATCATGGGTATAACCAAGGAAAAAGTGTGTAATTTTGTAGTTATTCGCAAATAAAGTTTGTTTTCTTTCATAACTTGTATGCTTGAATGTTCGGGATGATTGGACTATTCAATCTCGATATGAATTGCCGATCAAAAACACCATCGATAAATAATATAAACTCCTTCTCTCTCGATCATAGAGACCTCATGTCGACGAAATGAGACATGTATCCAATGACAGTACTACAATTAACGTCAGGCTGTGTGGATGCGAACTCTATGCCTTGCGTTATCTCGAAAATGGTACGTTTTTGGCCTTAAGAACGCAGAATCCGATAGTTCCGAGAGAACTATCCGGGTCTTGCTGTACGCATAAAAATCTTCAAGATCCAATTTGTCCCGTATCGATCTACAGACCTACCACCGTTCCAGTATTGAAGCCTAGAAAAATGTTTCTTTCGACTTTATTTATTCTAGAAAGAAAAACAAAAGTTGAGAATACGATTCGCTAACCCCCCGTGAAATTCTGAATCCAACGGTACCCCATTCATGGTATTTGAGCATGATAGGAGCTTATATTTGGTACAAACCCGATTTTGAGCCTTACTGTAATAATATATGAGGGACTAGGGATGGGAATGTGGAGATTGTACCTGAAGGTACTTGCTACAGTGCTCTGATCCCTTGAAAACTATTTTTAATTGTATTTGTGAGAAATATTTCATGTTTTAGATTCATAGGCATCAATTATCCATTTAAGGAATTTTTACCGCCATTTTATGGCAAGATACTAGACGAAAAAATACACATTTCTTTTCATATATGTGTAAATACGTACATGCAGGCACACCTTTGGTGTATGGAATTAACCTGTTTCTTGTTAAAGTGAAAACATAATTTATTATAAAATCGATTATTTTTGAACCTCTGTGTGTTAACTATTATAACCTGTGGGTGTGTTATGAGAGATTGAGTTTGACCTTATGTGGATTGCTGTACAATGTGGTACTTACTGCCTTTGTTGATTATAATGTAATGTGTTTTGGTAATTAAAAGTGTAAAAATGATCAGTGAGTGTTTTATTAGGAAATACCGAAACATTTCTCTAGTGCGCCCCCTCCCCCTCAAAACATTCCTGAATCACTGGAAGCCACTCGAATGTGTTTGTATGTCAAGCACGAATACTGCAATCATTCTATATATAGAATCATCTTCAAGGATATTTCAAGTTCAACATAAAAAGAATCGACTATTTGATGTAGAGTTATAATATAATACTTGATCAATGTTAGTTCTTAACTCCCCAAATTTTTTCATAAATTTAATTAAATTATCATAAATTCATATAACAAATTTCTGACAGAAACATATTCAACGCAGAACGAATTTAAAATACAGAATCCAAAAATTATACAAATCCATTCCTATACTTGATAATTTAAAACATAAATAGATTTTTTATCATAAAAATTAAATAATGATGTAGAGATGGTTGACCGTTGATATGATATGAGAAGGAATTAGTCGAGGGTGCGGTCAAAAAAAATAAAAAAATTAAAATATATAAATAATTTTAATTTTTGCCGACGTTTCGACCCACTTTGCAGGTCGTCTTCAGGGCTACAAAAGATACAAACATGTTGAAAATATAAAAATAAAATAATAAAATAAAAATACTTATATTATATTACTTATACTTATATTTATTTTTTATTTTATTATTTTATTTTTATATTTTCAACATGTTTGTATCTTTTGTAGCCCTGAAGACGACCTGCAAAGTGGGTCGAAACGTCGGCAAAAATTAAAATTATTTATATATTTTAATTTTTTTATTTTTTTTGACCGCACCCTCGACTAATTCCTTCTCATAAAAATTAAATATTCCTTTTTTTGTTCAAAATAAATTATTCAATTATATTACAGAAAGAAAAGATATTTTTTCTTTTCAATTATAAAGAGAGAGCCTGCTGCATTGCAGCCTGACATTTAAGAATATTGACTTCAGAATGAAAGTCGTATCTTTTCTTATGAATGTAATATGAACCTGCTACATATGATTGTACTTACACAATCTACAAAGGTTACAAAATATCAACAAAGCTTAATTGGCTTATCTATGAAATGGTTCAAGATGATTGAAAGATTGTTCATTCCTTGTATATAAAATTCAATAAATGCATTGAAATAGACAATTACCTTCTTTTTTTTTTTAAATCGATTAAATTGGTCAAACTTTCTGATAATACCAAGCCTGACGTTATCAATCGTAAATATTTCAGTGCCATCACACTGTTGTAAAATCGATAGGATTTTTTTTCTTTTTATTATGAGATTTCGATGGCATTAAACAGAAGCAAGTCAACTCACGTTGTACATATTTTGGTAAACTCTAGTTAAAATTGGCATTGAAAATCTCGAAGCTTTCAAATAAATATATTTTTTTTTTTTTCACAATAATAGTTATAATTTCCAATCGATTCAAATCTAACTTTGTATCGCAATATATTTTTATTTTTTTTCAACTTCGATTTTTCATTGAAGATGCCTGAACCAAAAGATGGTTCTTTTCTTTTGAAAATATCAAGCTCTAATTCCATTAAAACCATATTTAAACCATTTTTGTATATTTTTTCGATAGGTTCTCTTCTGTTGATTGCCATACAAATTTAATACTTGAAAATTAAAATTAAGAAAAATTTATTTTATACAAAAAATACTGTTTTTCTAATAACAAAAACACATAATTTTTTTTAAATACATCGATTCAAATATTATACACAAAATTCACTTTGCAGTATTAATAGTAATTACATAAATTCATTTCATTCCTTGTCAATAATGGGAGTAAATATATAATGGCCTCATGATATTTTTCCATGCACTTTCTCGATAAATAAAGATAAATCAGCTGTTAACATAAAATCTTCAACCAATAATATCCATATATATATATAGGTTTGTTACTAAATGTTGTAATATTTTAATAACAATTAATTTTTAAAAATTTTAATAATATACCGGAGTAAACTTATGCAAATTAGATGTGTTTTATAATGTTTGTTGATAACGATAAACAACTTTATTTTTTAATAAAGACATAAATAAAATTAAAAAATCGTTACTTAAAAGTTTTTAATGGTAAAAACTATGATAAAATAAGAGAGAAATACAGAAAGTTATGTGGAAAAGGTTGTAGGTTCGGGTGGACAGCTCGCTCGCTGTATTGATCGAACTCGGGAACTGGGTTAGACCTAACATATACACAAATAAACACCTAACCAACTGGCAAACAACCGTTTAAATTTTATCAATTTCATATTAATAATATATTCAAACATTGCACTACACTTCACTTTTCTTTATTTATTATACTTAAATTTAAAATTTTAAGTATTTGCTGTATAAACAACATACATAATAATCCAGTTGTTCCATAAGAACAAAACAAATGTAGACAATTAATCAAAATCAGCTGATTTAATATCGATTTTTGAACGAAGAAAAAAAAATTGAGATCAAAAGTGATTTTGTAATAATTCTTCATTTTTGAACAATATTTTAATAATAAAAAAATATACGATATCCGTGACAATTATAAATATAAACATAGATTTAAAATTATGTAAAGACATCAATAAAAAATTAACATAAAATAACAACACAATTTTACAAACCACGTGACCTAAAGCCTAGAAAAAAATTATGGCATGAGGGCAGAAAAACTTTTTAAATGAAAGTAAACTCACTTTTCCAGTCAGTACGACGAAAACAGCCAGTGCTCCTGCTATGTGGTGCATTGCCCTAACATGGTAATGTTCATCCTCAGGGTCGCTTCTTCAGCCACACGAGCGGCGTCCTAGCCGCTTCTGGCCCATCGCCGAGTGTTGCCAACATCGCCGCAGTGGATGTACCCTCGCTTGAAACATCTACCAACCTCGCAAAACTAATATCCCTACTTTGATATTTCCCTTCTGCATTGACCGATAAAGGAATTCGAATTGAGTAAATAATTCGTATTTAAAATAGTTTTGTACATATTTCTTACGTAAACATCATTAGTGGTAATAAAAGCAGATAATAATTGTGATTGAAGAGGCCTTGATTCGTGTACTGACTGCGGCAAATTGATTCGATGAGAGCTTTCTATGCCAAGTGCTAATGTGGAACATCCGTGTAAAGGTAAAAAATAATCAATAATCACATGTATTATATGTATATAATTTAAACATAATTATTTTCCAACACTGTCATCACCACCTATGCCGATGACACGTGTATCCTATCAGTTAATCCATCTGTATCCATCTATTGCATCCCGAATACTTCAATCACACATCACAAGTCTTGAAAAATAGTGTCAAAACTGGAGGAATAAAATAAATTCCAATAAATCCCATCAAATTACCTTCACTCTTCGTCGTAAACCTATGACTTCAGTATCCTTCAACAATAGCCCTCTTATCCCTGTCGAACAAATCCCTATGACTCCACCTGGACAAACGACTCACTTGGAACCCATATCAGACTGAAATGACTAGGAACCGCCCGACGTTTTCGACTACTGCAGCACTTACTAGACAAACGCTCTAAGCTTTCAATCAATTACAAACTATCACAATAATAAGACCTATTTGGACTTACGAAATTGAGCTTTGGGCCTCCACTAAACCATCGAATTCCTCTCGTATCCAATCCTTACAATCCATAATCCTGAGCTTGGATAATAATGAAAGACTGAGCAAGAAAATTTTTGACAAAGTTTGCAGCTATAAATGTATGGAGGGATATGTAAAACAAATAAAAGAGGAACTAGACAGGCTAAATATCACGGATAAAGATTGCTTGGATAGAGAGCTTTTTAGGGAAAAACTGAAAGGAGTTGGGGTTCTTGTAGGTGGGAGGGAGAGCTGAGAGAGAAAATGGACTAAGGAAGAGCGAGAGGAACAGTCCAGGAGGATGAGAGAGTATTGGAGTAAGAGGAAGGCTGAGGGAGTGAAGAGGAAACGGAAATGATATTCGGGTGATCCTTGCTGGCCGGTACGTGGAAAAAAAAATAATAATAACTACTAAATTTTCATTGCTTCCGGGTTTATTCGACGTTTCGATCCCGGTTTTTTTTTTTTTTTTTTTTAAAGTTAACAATGGGATCATCTTCAAAGTTTTAAAATAGAGCTTCGATACCTCACGCCAGGGACACACCCACCGACAGTCTCAGCAACGTCCACCAGCACATATATTAAGGTATTGGCTATATATATATATATATATATATATAGCCAATAGCTTAATATATATATATATATATATATATTATATATATTATATATATATATATATATATATATATATATATAATATATATATATATATATATATATATATATATATATATATATATCAAAAGAAATTTTGATATGAAAGATAGTAGATCTCAATACTTACAAAAAAGTTCATATAAATAATGGAGCAATTTTCAGCAGAAAAGTAGGAAATTCAAGTTTTGTGTATTTTTAGAGAGTCGTATTTTTTGTTGAATAGGAAGCGATAACTAAAGAATTTAATTTAAGTAATTAACAATCACTTCACTGTAAACTAGACAAAACTTACTTTAATTGAAAAGAGAGTTTGTCATTATTAAAATTATTTAAAGAGGACATTTGAGCGGCTAAACTAAGCTAAGTTCTGCTTTCATAAATTATTTCCTATTTTTTTTTTATCATCATCCAACTAAACTACAGTTATCCCACTTTTAGAAAAACTACCTAGTTAATTAAGGTTTTAATTTACATTAATTAATTGAGGTTTATTAGGCAAAAAATTGGGATTCACCTCAAGTTGTGTAAAAAAAATATGTGATTTTCTATCCAGTCTTCTAAAAGTACATATTTTCAGCAAACATTAATATAATTTACTGTTGCAAAGAATTTGTTTCTTGTTTTTTCATGAACTGGGATGTATTGAAATAAAGACAATTGCCTAAATACACATTTTATTCACAAAAAAAAAAAAATGACTTTAACGAAGTTTCATTGAAATCGGTACATTCGTTTAGGCACTTACAGTCTATAGCAACGCAGGTTTTTCTGATTTTTTTTTTTTTTTTTTTTATCCTTTATTAATTTATCAAACTCTTTTAAAAGTTATATTTAGCATTTTTTCGTAACTTTAAATAATGTGAAATGATTAACTTTTTAAAATAAACCATATTAAAGGTACTTTAGAGGAATACGTATATGAACATTGGGCATTTAAGCCCTGCAAAGTGACATCAACGGGGATGAGACTAAAATGGTATTAAAGAACACTTAATTATACAATCATACATTGAGTTTAATCAAAATCGTTAGAGCCGTTTTTGTTAGCCGATTTTAACAAAAAAGTTGCTGTCACATCCAGCCCTTATACAAACCTTAAATACTTAATATCAGTTTTGTACTACTTTTCGTTTATGAGCTAAACTGTTAACACACACACACACACAGACACACAGACCATTTTGCGACACGGTTATTTGGACTCAGGGGACCTCAAAACCTATCTTATAGGCATATACCTATCTTAAATACGTGATATCAGTTTCGTACGACTTTTCGTTTTTTAGCTAGACAGCTAACATACAAACACACAAACCATTTTTCGGAACTTGGTCATTTCGACTCAGGGTACCTCAAAACGTGTATTTCCGTTGAAAACTCAGATTCAAAAATTTTCTCGATCGCAATAATTATCCTTACTATATATTACATATAAACACGTAAGTGAAAGTAAAAAGTCTAAATATTCTGATATTTCAAACATTTTACTTGTAAAGTGGTTAAGAAATTGTATTTTCTATCACAGGAATTGATCCGCATTTATCAGTGACAAACATGATGTTTCTAGTCCTAAAATTCACGTTTAAAATAAAGACACCTACCGATTGCTTCAATTATTTTCATAATTAATTCAAACGTAAATATTAGGGCTAGAAACATTAAGGTTGTCACTTATAAATCGTGATCAACTTCTATGACAGAAATCTAGAAGAAAAACGCAATGTCATAACCACCTTACTTGAAAACTACTTAAAAAATTGTTATTTTAAATTTTATTATTTTTATAAATAAAACATTTATTTAGATTATTATTTTTTTAACAATTCATACCAGATAATAAAAAAACAAGTAATAAAAGCTTTGTAACAGTTAATTGTAGTCTTTTTTGCTAAAAACAAAGGTTCTTTTAAGAGAATGGATAGAAAATCACATATTTCCTTTACACAACTTGAGATGAATCTCAACTTTTTACCTTATAAACCTCAATTTAATTAATGTAAACTTAAACCTTATTAAATGAGGTAGTTTTTTTTCTAAAATTGGGGTAACTGTAGTATAGTCGGATGATGATAAAAAAAAAAAGAATAATTTATGATTGTTTTAAAAACAGAATTTAGCTTAGTTTAGCCGATCAAATCTCTTTAAATGGTTTTAATAATAACAAACTCTTTTTACAATTAAAGTAAATTTTGTCTATTTTACATTGAAGTAATTTTTAATTACTTAAATTAAATATTTCTTTAGTTATCGCTTCCTATTGAAAAAAAAAAACATGGTTATCACAAATAACCACAAAACTTGGATTTCTTACTTTTCTGCTGAAAATCGGCCCAATGTTTATGTGAACTTTTTTGTAAGTCTTGAGATCTGCTTTCATTCCTATCAAAATTCCCCTCTACTTACGATACACCCAGTAGACCACATTGAGTGGCTCACAGTGGAATTGATATTCCACATAGAATAAAACACTTCAGCGGTTGCAGTAAATAAATAAAGTCAGAAACTCTTTAACAGATTTATTTATAATCTCATTTTACATATGCACAAACTCACTAAAATTAAAATATTCAAACGATTTAAAAAAAAAAAATTAAAAAACTGGATAATTTTACCTTACAATCAAAATGATACAGCTCATTTCTTATTAACTTTTAAATACTAATTATTTATTTCAACAACTAGTAAACAAGCCATTATTTTCTACCACTCCTTTCAGTCTGTTAGTAATGGAGTCTTGTTTTAGTGATTCCGGGCTTAGCCTGTTTCATTCTTCGAAAATATATTTTTTAAAGTCTTCTTCACTAAATAATTCATGTTTTCTAATTTCTACCTCCAATTTTTCCCACATGTGTTCATTCACATTATGATCTGGTGAATGTAGTAATTTTTTTTCAAAACATGTGATTTACGTTAAATAATATTACTTTTCAAATATTATTATCCCTAAACCTAAACCCAAAATATTATTATTTATAATTTTTTCGCCACCCTCCGTTACCTTCTACAACTTTCTATATTAGATATTATTTTTTCTAAAATTCTCCGCTTTCCAACGATATATTATACGTATACCTCCTGACTAGTATTTCCGGAGATTCATTTTCGACCTGGATAAGCATTTTTATTTGTTTTCTCTTTATTCAATTATCAAATTCTTTCAAAAGTTATATTTATCATTTTTTGGTAACTCTTAATGATGAGAGATAGTTAATTATTTAAAATAAACCATATTACAGGTGCTTTAGAGGAAGACGTATATGAACATTGGGCATTTCAGCCCAGTAAAGTGACATCAATGAGGATAAGGCCTAATTGATATTAAAGATCACTTCATTATACAATGATACACCGAGTTTAATCAAAATCGTTAGAGCTATTTTTGAGAAAATTATAAAAATGTGTTTAAGCGTTGATATAAAGTGGCACTTCCGGTGAGCTGATTTTAAGGAAAAAGTTGCTGTCACATCTAAGGCATATACCTATTTTAAATACGTAATATCAGTTTCGAACGACTTTTCGTTTTAGAATTAGACTATTCACATACACACAGACCAGATTTGGTTATTTGGATTCAGGAGATCTCAAAGCGTATATTTCCGTGGAAACTCAGATTCAAAAATTTTCACGATCGCAATACTTTATCTTACTGTGGATTACATATATAGGTAAGTGAAAGTAAAAATATATCTATTAGAAGTCTTTCAGCTATTGATGCTATGTGGTGATACGTATTGGACATGGCGAATAAGTTTTTAAAATTATACAAGTTGAATGAAACCGACTTCTGAAATCAAAACCAGCGTCAACGGGTAGGAGCAAGTAGATAAGGATCGACCTGTACCTGGACCCTGGGAAGGCTTACAGTAAAAACTAGTAACGGGCTAAGTAACTGGTTCCTCTTAGGGTGTTACCAGTTATTGTGAAGTAATAGGCTGAAGTTGAGAACCAATGGAAACCATCCTTGCCTCACCCTGAATATTTGTATATAATACGCCGAGAAGTAAGAAAAGAGGTCTTATGTTGATGTACGGTCTTGAGGATGGGTCTTATGTTTTTTTCCCGCTTAAGGACTGAAGCCTTAGCCCAACATAGACCATGAAGATGCACAAAGACCTCGGATCTCGAGATGCAGCGTTGAAATCTATCAACCACACCATTTCATAGACAATAGATAAGTTGTAATTCCCAATCCTTATGTTATATTTCATAGCGAAAATTCAAAACAGTCCATCTGAAATCATGCCTTCACAGTTAATTATCAAATTCATTGAATCACGTATTTTGTTCTTGTAAATATAATTTGTACATATTCTTTATTAAACATAGAAATAAATTAAGTTTTTTAGTAAAAGATAATTTAATTCTGCCACCTATTTATATCATGATGATCACAGCTAATGTGTGTAATTAGAAAGCATGATAAACACAAACCAGCCTTTGAGAAAAGAAATCCAATTAATTAATTCTGGACCAATCAATATATTACAGATCCAAATTTAATTTACTATTTTTTTATTGAACATTTCTGGGTAATTATCATCAGTAATTATCCAGTGGCATCCCGAATAAAATTAAACACCCCAAAATGTAGAATCTTTAATGTCATCCCTTTTGCGGGGATAAAACATTGCAGTGGGAGGCATTAGTCAGACCTATGAACCAAATCTCCAATCCTACTTCTCTTAAAGACTACTGTACCATCTCCATTCTCTCTAACATTTTGAAACATCAGGAAAGAATAACTCGATATAAATTTCCGAATTCCTTAAAGACTCCAAACCACTCAATCCTCCAATCTGGTTTTTGATCTGTCTTCTCCATACAATCCGCTCTACTAAAAATACCAATGATGTATACTGCAATGGACGAAAAAAAGCTAACTATATTAATACTTCTCGACTTTTCTAAATCCTTCAACTCCTTAGAATACTCAGTCCTCTACACTAGATTAAAATCTCCATCCTTATTCGAGTTCTTTTCTTTGGTTTCAGTCTTTCCTTTCAGACCAGACTCAAGCAGTTAGTATTCAGAACAATCCTTATTTTCTTTCCTTACACTGTCCTCCAGAGTAGCGCATGGTTCAAGCATTTCCCCTTTCTTTTTTAATACCTCTATAAATGACCATTGTTCACACCATCTATACGCTGATGATTTCCAAATCTATTTATCCTTTTACCCTTCTGAAATATTAGTTGTGTTCGCTAATATTTAAGCAGGCCTAGAAGGGATCAGCGCCAGGGCAATGATATAAGACATAGAAAACTCAGGCCATTGTTGTAGGTTCCAGTTCTCTCCTTAAATCCAACTTCTTCCTTCCTCCTTTAGTCATCAATCAGCTCCTCCATTAAAAACCTAGGAATTTTCATTGATGAAAACCTCTCCTGGAATCTCCATATCACTATCATCTCCCAAAGCCCAATAGGTACCCTTAAACTATTTCATCACTTCCTTCATCTATCCCACAACCTATCCAGAAGCTCCTTGCATCCTCTCATATTTTCCCCCACTTTAATTTCGGCTGTGAGGTGTAGGGAGGCATCAAACCTGATGGTACTTGAAGGCAGATTAAAGCGACTCATCAACTCCTTCTTAAAATATTTTTCCGGTACTTTGAGGATCTCGTGTGCCCCACCATTACGAGTTAAAGTGGCTCTTCCCTTCTTTGTGCCAACAATATTTCCTTGGAACTTACCTATTCCAAACAATCAACTTATGGCACTCTTGATAGATCTACAGTCCTCTGCAGTTCAAACCAAGTAGTCCACTCCCAGAATACAAGATCCCATGTTCCTGACCTTTATACCTCTTCCCATAGAACTATTAATCCATTTGAACATTCCTTAATTACCAGATCCACTGTGCTTTCTAGTATTCCTTGCCATCTGATGTCCCGCCATGCCTCTTCCTTGTCCTCTTTCAAATATCATCTATACCAGTTCTTTCTCACATCCCAATATGTCGCAGATTGTGAATTTTGATAGAAGAGAATAGTTGTCTAAAATTGTTTGTGTTAATTTTAAGAATCAACTCATAGAGTTTATAACATTTTTTTCTTTTTCTGTATTTCTTTTTACTTAAATTATGTTTTATTTTTTTTTTCAAAATGTTTTTACTTTCTTTTGTTAATTTATTATCACTGAAGATATTGTAGGTACTGCTTAATTTTTATTAGTGTAGTTTTTGGCCAGATATGGTTTTTATTTTTTGGTCATAATTGTTATTCTAAAGAGACTTTGTTTCAGAATAAAGTTTATTTTCTATCTATCTATATAAATATATATTGAGAGAAATAGTCAAATAACAAAGTATTTTTTATTCTAATCGATTCCATCATTTAAACATCTGAAGTAAATATTTGTAGGTTCAATCTATAAAACACAGTAATAGGATATAGAGCACAATAAAACATTGTCAATATAAACAAATACATTTTATTATAAACTTTATAAAAAATAAATATAATTCATATTTTAATATCAGTATATTCATTAACTATTTATATTTTAATATACAATAAAATTACAACATAAAATGTTATTTACAGCACATTACAAGTGATCTTTGTCATTGTCTCTAGGGCAACGTATGGAGACGTAAAGTTTCTTCTGTCTACATTCTTCAGTATCAGGGAATATAGGGTTCCAATAGTCTTGAACAGAGGAATAAAATATAAAATTTATATCATACAAAGAATTCATGATAAAAGAAATATATGAAATTAAACAAAAATACCTGCAGGTGTCTGATTTAATTTATCAAATTTATCTCGATGTCTGGAACATTTATTCATCCTCGCTTTGATTTTAGACGGGCTCAGACCAATTGCTCCATAATACTAATAACAAAAGAAAATATGAATTTTCAATTCAAAGAGCCAATCAAGTTCAATAATTAGTAATATAAAAACAGATAAATAAATTTTAATGTTACAATAAATACAATAGTAACAAAAATAAATATTGGGACATATCTACTGATGGATTATAACAATTGGTTGGTTTTCGCATATGTCAAGGTATCCATTGGAACATCAGTGTCCATCCGCCACAGGCGGATCTACGGAGGGGGACGGCTTTCGGGCTGAAGCCCTTCCCCCCAAAATGGTAAAATATAACCATGTTTTACAGAAAAAAATATTAATAACTATCTCTGAAAGTATTCTTGTTCGTATAGTTACATTTAATAGGACTTCAGGAACCACTTAAACATCATTTCATATAGGTAGTTAATTTCTTTTTTTTTTTAATTATTTTTATGAAGATTTATAAAAAAAATTCAGGTGAAGTCCTTCCCCCAAAATTAAATCCTGGATCCGCTAGTGCCATCCGCGATATCTCAGGTTTTACAGTTTTTTTCTGCACTCAACTGTCCTCTGGTAGTCTGTTTGGACGTTGTGTAATAGATAGTGAATAGCCACTTGTGAAGCCAACTTCTTTATCTTGGGGCACAGAAAAACATCTGCAGTTAAATGCCCTTAAAAAAGTCGGGAATTTTGCTACCAATCCAAGAACATGAGGAGAAAGGGTCTCAGAATACTCTGAAGCACTGAGTTAATATTCCTACTTGTTAATATTAAATATTAACTTAATAGTAATATTAAATATTAACTAATATTAGCTGCCTCATTGCTCACGGATACCAGTACCAGAAGCTGCCAGTTTAGATAGACAAGAATTGACAGTAGGCCACTCCATTTAATTCATAAGAGAAATAAAAACCAAATTAAAAAAACTCCTTTTCTAGCTTATGTTTATTCGAAATCGGTATTTAAAATGTTAAACGATGAAAATGATCAATAACAATAAGCAATGGTTGATTCAATGTTACCTTTGCACACTGTTCACAATCCCAACCATCTAGTTTCATTCGTTCTTCTTTTTTTCGTACTGCATCTCTTTTATATTTATAATTTGGACTTCGAGAAGATTTTGAGCTGCATAAACATATACAAAACAAACACACAATTATAACTTGAACAATTTAAAAAAATAATTAATTAATATAAATGAGTCTTAAATAAAATATTACGTTATAACTGGAAATATTCAAACTCAAAGTCTGAAGTCTCTAAAATGTCAGTAAAAACAAACTAACCTGCCAACATTTTATCAACTCAGACATTATCAGGCTGGGAAAAAAATTTTGTAACATATACAATAAGTTTTTGTATGACGACATACATATATAAATATTTTAATTTTTTGTTAACTTATGTGACTTTTTTCTTAAATATGTCAGTTTTTTTTTTCTATTAAATTTCAAAATTTCTATTCTTAAGACTCTTTTACACAGTTATACCTCAACCAGTTTCTTAGATGAACTCACTTTGGTCGAGAATCATAGCTGTGTAAAAGGATTTTGTTAAGTTGCGGAGACCATACTGAGATGTTGGCAATTTTTGACCAACCTATAGCAGAAACCCTTGTATTCAGAAAGCATAAAACATACTGATTATCCCACTATTTTTACTTTCACTTACGTATATATGTAATATATAGTAAGGGTAAGTATTGCGATCGTGAAAATTTTCGAATCTCAGTTTTCAATGGAAATACATGTTTTGAGGTCCCCTGAGTCCAAATAACCAAGTGTCGCAAAATGGTCTGTGTGTCTGTGTGTGTGTGTGTGTTAACAGTTTAGCTCATAAACGAAAAGTAGTACAAAACTGATATTAAGTATTTAAGGTTTGTATATGGGCTGGATGTGACAGCAACTTTTTTGTTAAAATCGGCTAACAAAAACGGCTCTAACGATTTTGATTAAACTCAGTGTATGATTGTATAATTAAGTGTTCTTTAATACCATTTTAGTCTTATCCCCGTTGATGTCACTTTGCAGGGCTTCAATGCCCAATGTTCATATATGTCTTCCTCTAGTTATATAGTTATAAACCTTTAATATGGTTTATTTTAAAAAGTTAATCATTTTGCATTATTCAGAGTTATAAAAAAAATGCTACATATAACCTTTAAAAGAATTTGATAAGTTAATAAAGGAGGAAAAAAATAAAAATGCAGAAAAACCTGCGTTACTATAGACTGTAGCGCCTAAACGAATGTATCGATTTCAATGAAACTTCGCAAAGTCATTTTCTCGACACCCTTTAAATTTATCTACATAACATACTTCAACGAAAAGAAGCTGGAAAAAAAGTTCCGAAAAACTCAAAAAGTATACACTTTTTTGTCGATATTGTATTATGGTTTTTTAAAAGTTTATGGAATTTCCTAAAAAAAAAAAAAAATCGTTAAAATTGGACAATTAGGAGGAAAGATATGGTCTCTACTTTTTTTTCCCCTGAAGAGGCTAAAATTTGGATAAATTTAAAATATATATTTTTTTTTTTTTTTTTTTTTACATAGAGTGCTACCAGTGGGTAGTTTCTCACCAAATGATTTCATGTTATTATATTCTATTGTACACATTTACTGAATGTATTTTTACTTGTAATACAGTTGTAAATATCATTAATAAATAAATAAATAAAAATATTTTTTTTATTATGTAATTGTCAGTGTGAATATGCATTTTGTTACATTATTTTTATAATATAAATGATTCAACCAAGTTTTAAAATTATTTGAAACGATAAGGGACAGAGGAAAGGATTCCAACAGCTTGGAATAAGACAGTTTTATGTCCTATTAATAAATATCTGTTGGAATGCAATTATTATCAAGGCATATCTCTTCTGCCAGGCGTCTACAAGATTTATTCAAATATATTGAACCAAAAATTGCTACCTCATGTTGAGAGTGTCCTATACAGAGAAGTCTACTACAGATAAAATATTCATCTTATAAACCATTCTAGAACGAGGAAGAGAATATCAAATCCAAACAAACTTCTGTTTGTTGACTTTAAGCCCACCAAGGACACCATCCAACGTGAACTTCTGTATATGTATCAATGAAAGATCTCATTATACCTACTAAACTTATCTTCCTAGTAAAACTTATGGTGGGCAATATAGAGTGTGTGGTGCATGTTGAAGGGGATTTATCTGAAAGATTTACTTCTAATAATAGTCTTCGACAAGGAGATTCACTCGCCTGCTACTCTTCAATGTTGGATTGGAAAAATCTATAAGAGAATCAAAGATCCAGAACAGCAGAATAATCTTTAATCGAATGGTACAAATACTAGGATAAGCGGATGACCTCAATATAGTTGGGAAATCAAAAGCTGGAGTGAAAGAAGTGGATTTCTCTCGAGGATGCTGCCAAAAAGCTAGGACTCGCTGTAAATACATATAAAACCAATTATATAATTGCTGGCCAAGCTAGAGATCCTAACCAAGATTTTTTTTTCGGAAGGGCCCTTACACATTTGAACAAGCTGTTTACCTAGGTTCACAAGTTAATACTAATAATGACATCTCTGCTGCGATAAGGAGGTGAATAGTATCAGCTAATAGATACAATTTTGGACTGCATCAGCATCTGGGAAATGGCGTATTATCAAGAATCACAAAAACAAGGTTGTATAAGACACTGATCAGACCAGTGCTTATTTACGGAACAGAAACAAGGGCCTTCTCAAAGACTGATGAAAGGGAACTCCTAATTTTTGAGAAGAAAAGGCGATCTATGGCCCAGTAAGAATTGTCCAATCTGGAGAAGGTGCACAATCAGCGAAATATATCATTTACTTAATGAGTCTGATGTAACAAGAACTGTTTTTTTTTTTCTTCATTACTAGCCATGGCCCGCAGAACTTAGTCGAGGTGTCAATGTGGCCCGTGGTCCGAAAAGTTTGGCGACCACTGGAGTAGAGTAATAGATAAGGGAGAGACATCTCTGTCCATTACATTGCTTAAGTATATTTTTTTGGTGCTCGTAAGGCTTACTATCACTTCTTTAAAAATTTTCCATTATTTATTGGACTTTCGCATAAGGAGTTGAATTGATGGAAATGGTAAAAGTAATGTTGCAATATAGGGTTACTTTTTTGGCACATGTTTTGGGAAAAAAATTATTCAAACTTTTTTCGAGAAAAGTAGCACAATAAAATTTGTGGTGATTTCCCCTAGTGGTTGAAAACCAATCTTTTTAACTACAATTTCTAGGAAAAACTTTTGGTCTAAAAAGACCCTTAAATATTTCTCATACTTCATCACATATTTTTTTAAATATAATTACAAATATATGTACATTTTTTTTTTATTTAACATGTACATCGGTTCGTCCTTAATTATGATATCAGCATAATCAGTGAATGTGGTACAATATTCATAAAAGGTTAGCAGGTGAGGCATGAGGGTGCTGGCATAGTTTTTGCCCACAACTATTCTTTATTAACTGATTGTTATAAAATTATTACAATAAGAACATTCAATAAATTAATTAATTAAATAAGGATTTTAATAAAAATTAATAATAAAATAAATACCCTTGTAAAGGCAACTTTGTGTTCTTTGCTTTCTCTTCATTCTTCTGAGTACTTGTACTCGCAGGTTTAAAATCTGCTGAGTAAGGTGTATCAATATCATCAGACTCTAAACCAGCACCTCTAATAAACAAAAACAATAAAAATTTAATAAAAACAAAACAAAAAAAGATGCATGAAATAATATAAAAATAATTACTCACTTAACATTTCCTACTTGAGTACTAGTACTTGGGGGTTTAAAATCTGCCGAGTATGGCGTATCAATATCATCACACCCTACATTGACATGTCTAATCAAATTGAAGAAAATAATCAATATAAAAAAATATATAAATGAATCATTATATTAAAAAAAAACTCACTTGACATTACCATCATTAGATTCCACATTAGGTTTACCAATATTAGAAGAACCTCCATCATAGCCATCCAGTGAACTCAAATCTACATCTTTATTCTTCACACTGAGGTTTAATCTCAATTGACGCAACTTTTTGTTTCCCGAAATTTCAGCAGGTCCTCTTAATTCTTTCATCTTCCATACACTCTTCTTGGTAACTTTCTGTTCAGGAGTCTCACTAAAAACTTCATCGCTAGAATTGAACAGGACGGTGCTTTTTGCTTTATCCTTTTTCGAGTTGGAAGCATCATTATTAAACCAAATCTTGTCGAGTTCCGAATGACCTTCTTTTACATAATCAATCAATGATCCGTTGAGCGACAACTGATCATTACATTGCTTGATAGCTCTTGACTTTTTCTTTGGAGAAACATTTAAAATATTTTGCTCCTGAAAGTCAGCACTTAAATTTTTTTTAACACTTCGAGGAGTCCTCCGGGTAATAGACGAAACAGGAAGATTGATACTCTTTGACGTTCGATCCTTCAGAATATTAAAGACTCCAAAGCCACCTGGGGAGCCAGGGACATTTTCATCTCCAGGAGATGTAATAATTTCAGTCTTTTCCACATTCTATAAAATAAAAATTAAAATTAAAACATATCGACAGCTAAGTTGTAAAATCAGAACAATATTATTGTGATATAAAAATTTGACTTTTTCTAGTTAAGCTTGGCTTCATGATCTTTCTGAAATACAAACTAAAAATGCTAAATTAAAAAATTACCTCTTTGCCTTAAGAAAGCAATAAATATTGACAGAAAATTCATTTTTTTCCATCGACTAAATATTTTTAGTTTTTTTACTTTTAGAGTTTTTGCAAATGTGTGAGTGTTTGGGTATATGGTGATAGAACTAACTCCTACTAATATTTGTACTAATAAACACACGAAGCTGAAGATCGTCAAAATTCTGATGATCTGTCAATGAATAGTGACCAAAATCATGAATCAGAAATGAGAATGGGAAACAAAATAAATATTATACCTTAGATATTTAAATTAAAATTGTGAAGATTGGTTCAAATAATAAAAAAATAATTCAGATATTAAAAAAAAATAAAAGTCTACTTATCTTATATAATGAAAAATATAACAATGCTCTTACAAACTAGAATTAACCAGTGGATTTCTTCATATTCATCAAACCAATACCAATGTTTTGGAAATCATAGAAACATTAAAAGAAAATCGAAGTGACAGGATTTTTTTTTTAGAAACACTGTCTTTTATAAATATAGAGGAAAAAACACTCATAATACAGTGAAAACCAAGTGAACACCCGATAATATTGAATAAAACCTTTGGTTAAATTATTGTGAAATAAATAAAATTTGATTTATTCAGAAATAATTAAAACCTCTTTAAAATATAAAATTACAACAAAACCACTGCCTAACTGAATAAAATCACAACTTAAGAATTAAAAAAATAATTAAAACCATATATTTAATTATATCAATTATATGCAGCTTTTTTACAAAATTGTAAGATAGAATAACAATAGGCAATAAAATTTATTTTAAAAAACGCTGCAAATTATTCCACAATGGTTTATTATTTCCAGAAAATTATACATCTAAAGTAACATTACCTTCATAGTTACAAAGAAAAATAAATAAAAGATGATTCCAATTATTGGACTAAACTTTTTTTTTTTTAATCATTGGTAATATGCTAAAAAAAATAGCATTACATCAGTAACATATTAAAAATTTAAAAACCAAACAAAAGATATAACATTTGGAGTGGAACATATTTTAAAAACCCGGAGAGACCATATCTTTGCTCCTAATTTGAATGATTTTTTTTTTTGGTATTCAGGAAATTTCGTAAACTTTTAAAAAACCATGCATTATCGACAAAAAAGTGTAAACTTTTTGAGTTATTCGGAATTTAATTTTACCATCCCTCGTAACTTTTTTTTCCAGCTTCTTTTCGATGAAGTATGTTATATAGATAAATTTAAAGGGCGTCAAGAAAATGACTTTGGCGAAGATTCATTGAAATCGGTACATTCGTTTAGGAGCTACAGTCTATAGCAATGTAGGTTTTTCGGCCGCTATTTTGAAAGTAATAGGCGAATGGTAATGTCGATGAAGGAGGATCATCCTCGGGTGACTTCTGATATTATATCTAAATTTGAAAAAAATCGGTCCAGTAGTTTCGGAGAAAATGTGCGGACAGCGGACGGACAAAAAAATTTTTATTCGTTTTTCGAAATCTACGCATCCTGAAACGTCAAACCTCAAATTTTGAGAGGGAGTTAAGTTTTGAATTTTTTGACCGATCACAATGGTTGATTATTGAAAATAATAAACCAAAATTAAATACAAGACGATCAAACTTTGTTTAGATACTCTAAATAAAGGTATTACTTGTAGAGAGGCGAGGAAAATACTTCATCTGGCAGGACTAGCTTTATCAGGATCAATTTCGAAACAATTCACTCAATTTCATTTGAACTTTTAATCAGTAAATAATTTTTAATACTAAAAATTAAAATAAAAGCAGCTTACTTTTGCAGGTGAAGTGAGATCAGGGTAATTTTGAACATCGGTCTCTGGGATAATACCATCACATGTATCAGCCATATATATTTTTCTCTACATAAACATAAGGGATTAGTAAGACCATATAATATACATATAACGTTATATGTAACATTACTTTCCAACATACTGGAGACGGTGATTTACTATATGTACGCCTCTTTTTACGTTTAGGTGACTCTTCGAACAGCATTTGTGATACTAATGTCATAGCTGAATTCTTCCTTTGTCCCTGAAAATCATCAATGTTGTCACCAAGCTTCAAAATATTAGCTAAAAAAAAAAAATAACAAACAGATAACAAAATTATTTTTATTTTTAAAATTAAAAATAATAAAAAAAATCATTTTTTTCAAAAGATTTTTCTAAATTACAACAGGATCATTGGATTTTTAACTAAAAGGAAAAAATGGACAAGAAATATTTCTCTTGAAAAATATTGAATCAGTTAAATTAAAACATGCGAAATTATTCATTAACTTAATTTGAATAATGAAAAGTATTTAGAACAAAAATAAATTTTAAAAACAAAGCCGAATTAAAATTGATAAAATCATAAAATCATCAGGCCAAAAATGTGATGTTTTAAACATAAATAACATAATAATAATGGTATAGTATAAATTTCAGAAAGAGTAATAAACAAACTGTAATACATAGTAAAACTTCTTTTGGTTTATTATTTTCAATATTATATATATCATTATCTTTTCATTTCAATGCAGTAATCGTCCAAAAAGATTACTCCCTCTCAAAATTTGAGATTTTACGTTTCATGAATCCTCCTACCTCGACTGCCCTTCCTTTCAAGATGGTGGCTGAAAAACCTGTGTTGGTATAGATTGTAGCGCCTAAACGAATGTACCGATTTCAATGAAATTTTCCTAAAGTATTCTCCTCGATGTCCTTTAAATTTATTTACCTAGTCCTGTCATAAATATTGTTGCAAAGATATATATACAGATTTCAACAGAAAAATAATTTTTTTTCAAAAACTTTATTAGAAAATGAAATGTATATCTATAGAGAGTAAAACAAAAAAGAAATTACTCAAAATGTCCCACTTTTGCCTGTCTCAAAATGCCTCAATAGCAGCACGCAGCACTTCTTGAGGAAAGTGACTGACCTGCTATGACCACAAATTGTTTGAGGCTTTCCAAGTTAGGGTGTGCTCTGTGGCATGCCATCCTCTCCAGTTCGGACCAAAGCCGATAATCTAGTGGGTTGTGATCAGGGCTTCCTGAGGGCCAATCCGAGGCAGAGATGAACTCTGGAATGTTCTTTTGAAGCCACTGCTGAGTTGACCTGGCCTTGTTAGCAACAGCGGAATCCTGCTGAATAACCCACTGGCTTCCAGCAAAAAGAGTATTATTTAGAGGCTTGACAAGAGGTTCCAAAATATCATCCTAATAGTTTTTAATGGGTTTTTTAACTCCTGTTTCACAAAAATGAAGCTTTGTCCACACTAAACCATCACTGAGGGAGGGTGATGACCTCTTTCCACTCTTCCAATGACTTCCTGGGCTTCTTTAGAGATAAATTTTTCTTCAATTGTAAAAATTTTCTCATCGCTAAACAAAATCTTTCGATGAAGACCATTGGTGTAACGGCAAAGGAGCACTTTGCATCTATCCACTCTAACGTTTTTAGGGAAGTGGTTAGCCTTTGTCTTGTCATTCATCGAAATGCACACATCCTAAAGTCACTTTTTATTATGCGAGACATTGATGTGACAGAGATTCCCATTTCCCGAGACATGATTTGTTGTTTTGGAATGGAATTTCTTCTGATTCGAGCAGCCACTGCTCTCACTGCATTTGCCATTCTCACATTGCAGGCGGTCGAGATCTGTCACATACACATAGGGTCTCATTATATCTATTTATAGTGCTGTACACGAACATATGGCTGATACCCAAAGGTTTCAAAGTGTTGAAAATCTCTGACCTACATTTTCCAACTTTGTGTACGGTGATCACAGCTATTCGGTTTTCTTTATCACCCCGCTCCATGTTAATTGAGCGAAAGAAAAATACAAACTAATTGGGATTATTATCCTGTATTAATATGTAAAGAAAATAACTTAATAGAGATAAGGATTATCTAAATAATACCCAAGGATGTAAACAAAGTTCAACTTTTGTAGTATTTATGGCAGAACCAGGTATATAACATACTTCACCGATAACAAGATGGAAAAAAAATATGAGGTGGTAAAATTAGAATTCTGAAATATTCAAAAAGTATACACTTTTTTGTTGATATTGCATGCTTTTTTTAATTCACTAAATTTCTAAAAAAATCTTTGAAATCGGACAATTTGGTGCAAATATATGGTATTCTAAATAATTTTTATTTGTTTTATTGCAAAGTTTATATTGTTTGTTTTGGTTTTTGATTTTTTGAAAGTTATATCAACTGAAGTAGTGTTGTCTATTTTTCTTAGGAAATTACTGACGATAAAGAAAAAAATTATTTAGGACAATATTAGGAACCACCTTTTATTTATGTTACAAAGGAAGTAATGTTACTTTTTGGGATTAATAAACTACTTAATAAATAAATACTTTTGTTTTTTAAACTGACTTCATAATATGTTATCACTAAATAATAAAATCATTATACCTATAGATTTAATACGATTCTGAGCTTCTAAAGATTGTTTCTTATAATGGAGTAATTCCGTTTCTAATGCAGAACATTTATGACATTTGGTAGTTTCCAATCTGAGAAAAAAACAACAGATTAATTCTTCACAATATGAACTTTGTTAAACATTATTATTAACACCTTATCTATACTAAAATATTAAGGCAAAGAATTTTTTTGAATGCGCTAATTATGAAAATAACCTTCAATTTATTGAGGAAGGGTTTAGAGGCTTAATATTAATACATTTCTACGACCCATAGAAATGGAACAGTAGTCATTAACACAAATCAATCTTGAAAAAAATAGGCAACTACATTAACACAGCTTCCCGACCATACTAAGAAGCCTCTTACCAGTTGCAAATGTTCAAATGACCTGCTTCTTCCCCTGACCACATAAAGTCTCTTATCCAGCAACTTCTTTGGAATCTCCTCTATTGGCCCTCATGCGACATGGCCAGAATAAAGTAGTCTGCCTAATATTACATACATCATCACATAGCGCCTCCTAGAAGCTCATAAATCTCTGCTTCTTCTTCTTCTCCAATGGTTACCGTCCTTCACAGGTCCAAATAAACAGGACATGATTTTTCTCTAAAAAGTAAGAAGAGCCTCTTGTTCTGAACTTGTGAGTCCTGGAAATCTAAGCCTTAGGTTAGGACAGGTCTGATGAGGGTCCTATATAACTTAGATTTTGTTAAGCAGGATAATGAAGGGTTATTAAGAAGTGTCTGTTCAGGCCAGAATAACATCTATGAGCATTGACTGATTTCTATAAAAATTCTATTTTCAGATGTTATCATATACCCAAGATATTTAAATTGATAAACATGATGTAAAGTGAATGAACATGTCTCAACTGGTTCTTATCCTGCTGCAACTGCTCCATTTGTTATAATTGTTATAGTCCAGCTAGCAAATAATATAATCATTCTCAATTCTTCAGCAGTTTAAGTTAACTTAAGAAACACTTTTGAGCTACTTGAAAAATCTTGCAAGAAGATTCAGATCATCTGGAAGTCAACTATGCAGACACCATAAATCAAGCACAGAAACAATTTTGTAAACATATTGGAGTTAACTAAGAAAAGACTCTTTTCTTCTCACGGACAACTGTATATTATCTTGTATAGATCACATTGCACAGAAAGTCAGTATATAATTATACCATAAGGCGAATTAAAAATATCATTTAAACTGTAGCACTGTATATTTTCCTTAAATGTTTCAGAATTTACCGTCTTCATTAAAAACTCACTACAAAGCTATCAAACTTTATGCTTTCAGTAAATAAGTTTCACATTGATAAGATGCACTTGGTTGTGTTACTCATCATGTGTGTGTGAAACAGGCATGTATAATTCAAATTTAAAGCAGGCGTGTAAAACCGCAGGAGGCTAGTAATTAATAAATTTATATTGATTTAACCACATTTTTTTCAATTATCGCAGTACTAAACTTTTGGTTATGCGCTTGTAGCTGTACCATCACATTGGTGAATTCAACACAATCAGTCATTATGTAAAGAAACCAAAAACTGATAAAATTCTATCAGAAAATATTTAAGCTTTAAAGGTTTTTAAATTTTATATTTCAAAAGTTTTTAAAAAAGAAATACTTTAAATGAGGGTATAACATTGTTCTAACTACTAATTGGTCCATTCAATTAATTCGCATAGTTACATTGGTGATTCACCTAATGGTATACATTGCGAAAATATATAACTACAGTTATTTGTTAATGAAAGTCGAATTTTTAAAAGAAACATTTTTTTTTACTTTTATAATTAACAGTAACCATCAAAATAAAGGGTCAATTCAAATTAAGGGGGATATGGCATACTAACCAAAAATACCCTTGAGAAATAATTTATAATATTGTTTAAAAGAGTCTATTTTTATATTGTGGTTTTCATTCGATATTTAAGTTATAAATAATAAAGAAGCTTTCTCTACATGGTCTGTTTTAAAAAGCACAAAATCAGTGCAATGAACACTCGAAACCAACATTTTGGAAGTAGCTACTTATTAAACAATTTGAGGCATAGTAAATAATTCAAAACAAAAATCAATTAAGAAGTACCAACAATTTTGTACTTGATTCATTAGATTATCAACAATGTCAAAACTTCCAAGAAACTAATTAATATTAAGTGATTGTCACCTATAAATTCAAAACAGTTCAGAGAAAATTTACAGAGGAAAATTTAACTCCTAAAATCAAATAAACAATGTAATTTAAAAAATTTCAGTGTTAATTGTATGAGTTCAAAAAATAAGTCACCCTTCTTGTTTGAGCTGGTTAGATAAGCAATTGTGGAAACAGTTTCATAATCATGATAATAAAGTCAGAATGACCACTGTTAATGATCAATTTTAATTTATAATGCTTTCATCGAAGAGAAAAATTTTGGCAGATTATAAAAAAGGGCCCAAAATTCAAATTTAACAACAATTGGTTTAATTTTAATATCATTTCAAGCCTGCCTAGTAGTCTTACTTAGTTTTATGGTGCATGGGTCAATTTAAAAAAAGCTTTGATAATGGGAATTAAAAGAAACAACCATGAAATATTCATGGCATTTACTTTAAACTATGTATCACTATAATCCTCCAAGTTTCTTGCATTCAGTTTTAGGTATGGATGTGCTGTTTCTTGCCAACGGTTATGAACGAAGATGATGTAGACTACACATTATATTACCAAATTGCATATTTATTTAAGAGTCAAATTAAAATTTTGTTGACTATCAAAAAATTTGTTTTTTAACTAAATCATAAACAATAATGTATAAGTGATATAATTTCATTGAGATGACATAATTGATGGAACCTATACATACAATCAAAACCCAACAAAAGTATCTTGAGAAGAAATTTGTGAATCTCGCTAGTAAAGGGTAAAAACAAAAATAAATCAGTACCTAGTAACTTCAGCCTTTAATCTATTGCATTCTTGTGCTTTCCATTCCAGTTCAGCTAAATGCTTTTCACAAGTCGACTTCGAACTTGAATGACTAGAACTTATATCTGAAATTAACATAAACCATACCATAATCACAAGGATACCAAAATAAAACAAAACTAAAGTCAAGAGAACAAATTGTTTATACAAGAATTAATAATTCATTATCATGTGTGAAGATCTTATGACCAGATCTTTAAAAAACTTACACTTTGTTTTAGATAAAGCAGTTTCTAGTAACATCAATAACCCAAGATATTCATTATCCGGATCTGTTAAATGGGAACAGTTTTCATCAAACATATCAGCCCATATTTGCTTTAGTTCACACACCGATCTATTTTTTTCCTTCATTTTAAAAAATACATATACCGGACCATAACAGACGAACAGAAACAAACATAACCTAAACCTAAGATAACAGTCGGACAAGAATTAATCAACGCTGGCGCTATCTATGTAATATTTACTTTAATTTTAAATCTAAGATAACTTTCATTAAATTTAAATAACAAAAGCTTAAAAAAATAAATACGTAGATTATTAAGGATAACTAAATATAAAAACATGCAAGATGAAATTATTTATTTTATTAAATACAAGGATCAATAGGAAAAGAACAATTAAATAAAAACAATTTAATATAAAGTTCTCAAATGCAGTTTCATTTTTATAATGTATTTACATAGTATATCATAAATATTAAACAAATATATTACAATGGTTCTTAACCTGGTAATGGTTTAAAATAAAAATAACTTTGTACAATGTGAGTAACCATCACATAGACTGGATAAAAACCTAAAACATTATCACAATTGCTTTATGTTTAAAAAAACATAGTAGTACTTTAAGGAATTTATGGAATACTTCATTCACGTACCATTAAAAAAAAAAAGCGTGTAGTTAAGTATTCACAGAGCAATGCAGCACTACAAGTCAGTCAGCCGGGAGCATTTCTGAAGCCTGAAAATAAAATAAATGTGATAAACCACTCAACATAGTTTTCCCAAAACAAGAATTCAACTATAAACAGAAAATATAATTTGTAAAAAGGAAATAGAAAAATAAAATTATTTTATCAGACATTTGAAGATTTTATCTCATAATATCCATCAAACAGAATTTTAAATTTTTTAGGTATTCTTTCGCTGGTATTACCAATCATGCCAACTATAAGTAGTTAAGCACTGCTTTAGCAGAATTAACGTATTATTTCACTGGTTCTACCCATCACAGCGAAATAGACTTCTGTCTATTTCACTAAAGCAGTGTTTAACTGCAAGCAGTCAACGCGGTGGGCAGTAGCAGCGAAATAGTACTTCAAGCAATGTAATTTTGGTCATATATTTTTTTTGAATTATACAAATAAATAATTATAATTCCTAATCTGTTTACAGAGGCAAAAACTGATACTATCATACACACCTATACACAATTATTTTCATAAATTACTATCATATTGATGCAACATTGCATTAATTAAAAAATAACAACTTAAATTTTATTAATATATGATAATGTTAAGGGTTTACACCTCAAAAACAAAATCAAATTAACTTTAATTCATCACTTACATTCCAACTCATAGCTCATACATACCAACTTTTTTAAATCTCTATTAAAATAACACAATAGTTTTTTTTTTATTAAAATGATACAATATCAAATTAATTAATATAACAGTTTTTGAAATCGAAATAAAATAAATTTATGAAGTATTTTCACAATTTTAAGCAAGTAATTAAAAAACAACAGGAAACTTCATAACTCTTACAACATTTAATCATATAACATTACGTTTATTAGGAAATAAAATGAATACATATCTTTAAATGTTACTTGTTAATATAAACTTTAATACATATCACTAAAAGATGGTATATGTCATACATTATCACTAAAGCCCACAGTAGGGTTAGGCAATGCTAATGGAGCCCTGTTTATATTTTACCATTGCAATTTTAATTTATCACTAACAAAGGTAAGTTAAGAATGTGGAGTCACTGATTTCAATTAAACTTTTTTTGATGATACTAGGTCAAAAAATATTATACCCATGTCCAAGAGGCTTCTTGAGAATGCCTTCTAAGAGGCAAAATATATATAATATATATTTTATACAATTTTATTATTGTTTTTTGTTACTGTTTTCTGACTTTGCCCTGAATGGATTTCTAAGTTATTATATATCAATATATTTTTTGTTTTTTTGCGTAAAATGAGAAAAACATATTGCTAATTGAATTTAAAAAATTGTAAAGTATTATAAATTACAAAAACCCAAAGGTGCTTCTTGTAAGGTAGGCCAAGTAAATTTTTGTCATAAAAAAAAAATATTGAAATTCGTTTTTAGGGTCCGCTAAAACTCTTAAATACAACTTTATTTTGAAATAAAAAAATTCTGGGAGAATTTATTTTCATGCTGTTTACTACTACTATAATTATTATCAAGCCCACAAATTTATATTTTTTATTTCAAAACAAACTCGTATTTAAGAGTTTTATGAACGCTAAAAACGAATCTGAATTGTCTTTACATTACAAAAATTTATTGGACCTACTTTACAAGAATCGTCTTTGGGTTTTTGTAATTCATCATACATTAGAATTTTTTAAATTCAATAAGCAATATATTTTTCTTATTTTACATTTTAAAAACCAAATAAATAGATTGATCATAGTAACTTAGAAATCCATAAAGGGCAAAGTTAGAAAACAGTAACATAAAAAATTATAAAATTATATTTTTCTCGGCTCCTAGGGGATACTGGCAAGAAACCTAGCCTCGGACATGGGTCTAATATTTTTCTATCTAGTATCATTAAAAAAAGTTTCATTAAAATCTGTGACCCCATGTTCGTAAACTCCCCTTGTAAATAAACACATCCACATAACATACATTCAAATTAATTCTATAAATTTCCAAATGTCATTACTTAAATAATTAAATATTTAATAATTCTAGCACTAGATGAATACATATCGCACAAAAACGTTTGGAGGCCACATGTGGCCTCTGAGGCAGCGGTTTCTCATATTTGGTATATGTAGAAAAACATGCATCCATTGCAGGGTTACGGTAAAAAAATATATGTTTATTGATACTTAGACATTTTGTGAACAGGATTGTTATAAAATTGAAATGTGAAGGTAGATATTCCTAAATAAGTGAAAGGAATTCTAAAATAAATAGCGATTAAATATTAACAAGCAGAATTGCATTATTTAAGCAGAAGTCTGATAAGATGATATTAAAAAATCAAACAAAATATAGTATTGAACTACTAGATAAATTCCAACATCCATATCCATGATCATTTCATTCAGCTTTTCTTCACGATAGAAGGGGAAAGACAGAGCCAAGGAAGAATGAAGGATGGATTAAAAGAGACTGCCGAAATAATAGTCATTTTATTAAAAACGCATAAACTCTCATTTGAAAATAAACATTATATGTATCTCATACTATACTATTGGAAGAATATTTTACTGTTGTTGTATTTCAAAAACCATTTTTAGGCCTTCATATTTTACAGCTATTCTTAAAACTAACGAAATAATTATCTCTCTCTGGTTATTCTCCATAATACTCAAAAATTATTAATAAAAAACTATACAATTAAAACAAATTTTTTATTTGAGTTGTGATCTGATTGTTGTGACCTAATTTTTTAAGAATAAGTCCAGCCATAGGTGAGCGCCAAAATGTAATATTTCTCTTATATTTTACAAATAATAATATAACCTCGGAAGATCACTTTACATGGGATACTTCATTGATTGATTCATTTGTCTTCAAATACTTTCCATCTTCTGCCAAAACACATCTTCAAAAATTTTGATACTTTCTTCTACTCATACTCTAGCACTCTGGGAGATCCTCTCTCTTGTAATTCCAAACAACTAGTGACTCTGTCAAACAACAACTTCCAAGATGGTAATATTATCACTGGGTTTTACCCACTGGAGCCAGGATCCCTTCTCCTATCCTCTCTTCACTACAGCCAAAACAAAATTCTTTGGGATTTTCCTTTCTTGGGAAACCACAGAGCAGCCATTTTCTTTTCCCTGAACTAGTGAAACTAGCTTGCCTTTTAAATATTCAACATTAATTTATTAAACCCTTTTTACCCACTTCCAACAAATGTGTACATTGCACTATATCGTAATTGGATATGATTAAAGCAGATTCAAAAATAAGAGATAGTACTAGAATGGATAATAACTTATAAAGAAATTTTTTTAGAAAAAAAATTTTAAAAATTGAGCAAGCATGACTGAAAGCTTTGAGACAAGGGTATAAATGGGAGTAGTGAATGTTCAATTCTCATATGAAATTTTATTTCATGGCGACCCTTTAAAATAAGTCTTCCTAATCCCTTTCTGGTTAGAAAATGCAACAACCATAAGATAAAAACCATAAGCTGTCTGGGCAAAGCAAAAAGAAAAAACAGGGCACTAACTGGACAAAACGTCATAAAAAATAAATAAATAAAAAAAAACCATGTTGTATGCTTAAGATCACACAATAAAAATGAAAACGACAAGGCAGGATTGATAATATGAAATATAAATTTTCCTTCTGTTCTGTATTCACTAAGTAATAACTTTTAAATTATATAAAATTATAATTATGTTTAAAATATTTTTTGTTCTGTATTCACTAAGTAATAACATTTACATATATACAATTATAATTGTGTATAAATATTTACACATTTGTAAACAATGAGAAGTAGTCAATTAGTATAAGAAAATTAGGCAGTACCGGTGCTTTTTTTAAATAAAACTTCTGTAATGGAGATCAGTAATTTGTTGAAAAACTATCAAGCGCAACATAGAATCGAATAGAAACACTTAATTTTTAATTTATACGGTTAATTAAAAAAAATATTTAAATTTACTTCTGCAAATTGATTTCTCAATTTTCCATGTTATTTAAATTTTTATATATTTTGGTCCAAATGTTCAATACAGTAGTTATTATTATTTTGTTTTTTGGCGCTATCTTATTCTCTTTCCAACTCTAACTCGGCATCACATCAAAATACAGTTTTTAATTATAACTTATTACAAAGAGTATGAAATGCTGGAAATTTCCCTTACGGTATATAGATCCGAATTTTAGTTTTTGAGATATTTTAATTAAATGGCAAAAGTAGTAGAATCGTGCCGACTTTACCTAAACTAAATTAAATGAAACATAGCCGAACATGATGGCTCAGTCTCATTCGATACTCACAAAATAAAGTTACTAAGCATGCCTAAAGAAGTTTTCACTTCAAAAAAAATACAAGATAACTAGTGAAGTAGGAATTATGCCTGCAAGCTTGACTAATTTTATTAAAATTATGTTTTTCCTATCACTAATTGAATGTTCCATACAGAGAGTAAAAATCATCATTGTAA